TTTTTTATAGGTAGTCCGATCAGACCACTGTGAAGGATATCCACTTTCCGAACGAGTCATTTAATACAAAATCTAGTTAAAATAAGAAAGTGGTAGCAAATATATGACTAAAAATTTGTTTTATTTATGAATATAATTGGTTTGCCTTATTCACTTGTCAACCACTACAGATTCAATTCTCAAATATATATGATGAATTTCTCTCAAATACTTTTATAAAAGGTTTCGGGTTCATGCACACAACTGGTTCACTTTCTAAACTGTCTGCGCGGACTACTTATAAAAGACCGTGTGGAGGCTTTTTGATGTAGAGGAGGTGATGGTACGGTTTAGGGAGCTGGTGGTAGGCGGACTGGTTTCCTAATTCGTACCACTTGCATACCTTGAAAAAATAATTAGTTTTTATTACTTATTGCAGAAATATTATTACCAAAAAATAATATCAGTAGCTGAATATGTGTATTTTATTGTTAAAATATTTCAAAGGTAATTTTCAATGATAAAAGTTAGAATGTGATAAGTGGTACAAATATGGCAACTCTCATCTACTTGATTCTTATTTTAATACATTTAAATTGAAAATATTTTGACTACCTATTGCATACATCAGTTTAACACGCATTCAGTTTAAACATACTATATTATATATAAGGTCTATTTATTTGGTTGTGTTTTAAATGTTGTCTTAATGTCAATGAAATGAATGTTTACAATGTCTTGTATATTGCCATCGGAGAAAAACTAATTCGAAAAACGCGAAAGCTGGCAAGTATGCAAGCAATTCCAGAGACTCTTAACTATTTGAAGCTGTTGCAAATTATTTTTCTAAGTGGTACTGAACGTACTAACAGATTTTTTAAATTTTTTTTTTTTAGAATTTTAAAACTTTGTTCGTTCGCTCGTTGTAGTGGAACTGGGCGTTTGAGGCCTTACGGCCCTTTTCCCATTCATCCTGAAATTAGACCAAGAAACATACATGACAAAAATAAAGTTTGGGGATCAAAATGGAGTTCGTGAGAGAAAAGAAATGGCCCTTTGCCATTATTAGGTAATAACAAAATTACAAGTAATAATGAAGTACATGAAAAAAAGGTAAAATTAAAGTACAATGGGAAAATAAACACGAATGAATATTTACAGTATTTATAGTTTGGGAGTACATACAAAAGGGGGGCGAGTTAAAGGAATGTGAAGATGTGTGTATATGTGTAAGTAAGTGTGGCTTAAGTCGAGACCCGGCCGTCCTGGTAATTACCACTCGTTGCCGGGTTGCTCTCTACACTTAAGTTACAGGGATTAGCTTACCCCTGATCAGACCCCGAGGTTTTAAAACTTTGGGATTTGTATATATGACCTTAATGTATCCAATTACTTGCGTTTAGTGGTGAACAAAGATCTTTTAATTATAATTTATTAAAATATTAATACATTGATTTCTCTTCCAAAAGGAAATACATTTTCTGAAACTACGGAGAATCAGTAGTAGTTGAAGAGTCTCTGGAATTCCGTAGGCTGGTGAGCGCAGCGTGTAATGGATGGAATTTTATAACACTTTATTATTATCTTAAGCTTGCTGTTACACATTTTGAGTCCCGTTGCTCGCTGATTATTGGTTGCTCAAAATTTTATGCTTAAGCAATCTCAGACAGAGTGTTTATTGTGATCTCATTGTTCTTATTTAATTTCAGGAAAAACTTTTGACATTACCTATGTTCGTCTAAAATTTTACACAAGTCGTCCAGAAAGTTTTGGTATTTATAAAAGGACTATACCAGATGGTGATTGGGTGCCGTATCAGTTTTACAGTGCTACGTGTCAAAGTACTTATGGGTTAAACGACACATCATATGTTACATACAGCGACGAAACTAGAGCCCTTTGCACGTCTGAATTTAGTGATATTTCTCCTCTAACTGGTGGCAACGTTGCATTCAGTACTTTGGAAGGTCGTCCATCTGCTTATAATTTCGAAAACAGTCCAGTTTTACAGGTATGTTGCTTTTGTTTTTTTAAGTGCCATTTGATATTTTATTTAGCAATGCAGGAATAACAAAAATTATATATTCATTTCGATTTCTATTTAGAAACATCAATTCTTATTTATTTTATTTTTTATATACTGCTCAGGGGTCTGTTAAGAAATTTGGGACCGTTGACACAGTGTTCCCCAATCCCCGGACCGGTCCGTGGATCAAATTTTACCGGGCTACCCATTTCACTGAAACTGAATTTATACCCCAAATTAAAAATATCAGTGTTCCATTAAAATTTTATTTATTTAAGAAAAAGGGGCCCCCGAAGGTAGTGACATAAATTTTTGTAATGTATCATTGTCTCCGATTACCCCCAGATGGAACCGTCTCATTGCAAAGAAGCGAGCTCAGGGTTCTCATTGATTTAACGTTCTAGTAAGTTAAAATGCTGAATCACTTAATATTCATTTTTTTGTGTAACTGTATTTCGCTTTGAAGACATGTTTAAATACAATTAAATTAAAATTAATGTGATGTAAATTAATATTAATATATGTAATTAAAATATTATATATT